TATATATATATATATATATATATATATATATAAATAATATATTAATGTTAATAAAATAAAATATATATGTATATTTATTTATATATATTTATATTATATATAATATATTGTAATAATTTCTTGAAAGAAGAAGTATATATATATATAATATATATTATATATAATAATATATATATATATATATATATATATATATATATAAATAATATATTAATGTTAATAAAATAAAATATATATGTATATTTATTTATATATATTTATATTATATATAATATATTGTAATAATTTCTTGAAAGAAGAAGTATATATATATATAATATATATTATATATAATAATATATATATATATTTATATTATATATAATATATAATATATTTATATTTATTATTTGGCTATACATTTACGCGAGTACTTAAATATTGATGACAAGAGAACCGAATTTCGTTCCGATTTAAGAATGACATTCATACTTAACAGGACATCTTCATCGCGAAAGAAGCTTGACAAAGTACGGCAAGGGGTTAATAGTCGCATTTGAACGTCGGCTGTGCCATTAATCCATAATAAAACGTACGGTCGCGGCAGGCGGAGGACTTGCGCACCCTTCGGTCATGGCGTGCTCGTGATACATGAAACTGTGAAGAAGAGTGTTGTTCGGGTGGAGACCGGCTGCTGAAGCTTCCGCCGCGCCTCCCAGTCCTCCCAGACCTCCCAACCCGGCCAGGCTTCCCCCGCCACCCTCCGAAAGCTGGAACGTAGCGTACGGAGAGATGTCCTCCGCTGTCTCTGTAACCCACCAGAGGCATTGCCTACCTTTCAAATCGCGTCGGGATGACTTCTGTGGATATGAATGAGTTCCCTGGTTTCCATGTCAACTGTCGTTTTACATTCGCTATGTTACTTTGTCCTTTGATTGCAAGGGACGTCGAACATTCTGTGTTGCACGACGAATTCTTTCGCTCGAATACGATGCGACGATTTAGCTCTATGATTTGTTTTTAATTTAAACAGAATTTGTCTATTCACCGATTAGTAGTTCGCGGATTTATATTTGAAATCAAAATTGTTTGCATCGATGCTACAAAACCCGAGTTAAATAATGATATTATTCTTCCTTCGATAACCTTGACAAAAATAACCTTGACGAAAATATAACCGAGCATGCTTAAGATCATTTATAACTTCGTTAAACAGTTTTCGTTAACAGACTTTTTAAGGTACTCCATCTGGACATATTAGTTGTTCTATAAAATTTAAGACAATCGTCGGAAACTAAATAAAAGTAACAATATTTATATTCTATATTTATATCTATGTTCTCGGCCCAAATGGACCCGAGTCCCGTCATCCGAGTATCAATATCTGCAATCGATTGAAAATACTGTAACAAGATTTTCAAATAATTTTCATGTCTTCCGCATTTCACTTACCCATGCTCGACGAAAAGACCAGCACAGAAATCCACAGACTAGCAATCAGGTATCAAAATTCAAGAATTTACTATTGCTTTTATACAACACCCTTTCCGAGTGAAATTATTCGTCTGCAAACTCGATGCTACAAGTTAAACCTCTGCCAAATTGTCTTTAATCGTTATTTATTATTTTTATATCATTTTTATTTATTATCTTTTTAGTGTCCCATAAAAGGATATCAATCTATTTGAGAAATGACGTCTATAGTTGATGCCTAATTAAAATGGATCGAGTAACTTCCTCTTCGGTGCATCGGAGATCGCTCGCAAACGCGATCAAGGCTCGTTGTGCGATCCATGTTAATTCGGTAAATTCGTTTACTTACTTTGTCGAGTACAACGTACTAAGAGTCGGATGATCGTGGATGATTCAAGCGATGCATGAGTAAACGTTCAACCAAACTCGGTGGAGCAAATGTGTGAGAAGTCTATCATGAGGGAGAGTCAAGGTCTTGCAACTCATTCTCGGATGGTATTTGCATACTTTCTAATAATATCGAAAGAGGAGGATGTGCCTCGAAAGATCGTGAACACGTTCGAAGAACGAATTGTCAGACTTAAATCGTTCCATGGGAGAGAGCATACCAACAGTATGATTAGTATATGAAAAGTATGATCGTACAAGAAGCGCAAAGAAAAATCATGAAGAATCTCGGACTACGGTGACGACACAGAACGAAGACGCGACAAAATAAACGACCGCCCCTGGTGAACAGCAATCGAACGCTAAACGGGTTCGTCCAGACCCATTCGAACTGCGCTACGCGTGCGACTGTTATCTGAACAACAATTATAGTACCAAACCTGGCTGTCGTCCGTATCGTAACAAAGGTTCACCTGGAATCTTGTCGGGCCCTCCGCCCGTATTCGCTTGTTGCAAGGCGACCTTGTGAATGGTGGCGTAGTATCGTTCCCTTTGCGTCTCCGCATTCTGTTGGTTCTCCTGAGACTCTTTCATCGGCCGTTGAACCCTGTCCCCAAGATATCCTGCGAATTTTGAGGGCGACGTGAATAGTTTCGCGAAGTTCTCGCTCTTCCGAGCAGTGGCTGGGACACCACGAAAATCCGAGCTTACTGTTTTTCCAGCGAAAGGCTACGATCACCACGGCGATCAGCAAAGCAACGATGGTCACTATCAACGGCAGCATCACCCTCACGTCAGCGTAAAACGGCACAGCCGATGCGATACCGCGTTTCGAGAGTTCTGGCGAGGGTGGTTCTGCAAAGTTTCAGGAACACAGTGCTTTTGGATAGAACTCTTGCAATGTGATAAGTGTCACCAGCGGGCTGTGCTCAGGCTAGCTTCTCGCAGTGCGAATATTTTGTTGAATTTCGACGAACGTTCGCGACATCGATCGATTAGTTTATGTTTAAGCTATAATCGAGCTGTGAATTTTTTAATAGTCCGTTCATTCGAATGTAGTAAGAAAATCGATTACGCTAGACAAAGCAGCATTAAGTAATTAAAAAGTTATTAAACAATCGTCTATATAAACCTAATCGAAAACATCCACTTTTAGAGAGTGAACTAAGAAAAAAAACGATTTCGTTGCGAAGTGGACATATTGTACTCAAAACCCGTTTGAAAATCATAGAAAAAGTGCCGTGAAATGTTATTTCTGGAAAGTTAAATTGTTGTTTGAAAGCAGTAGAAGAATATTTGATATTTATTTGAGAAGAGATGAGCAACATTCTTATGTTCGTTATATACGTTACGCAAATTACGCTCGATAGCAGCAAAAGCGTTGTATGCTCAGGCTTAACGAAAGCAACGTATAATTAACCAGGCTTACCACCTTCCTTCGTCAACGTTACAAATGTAAATTCCGCTTGGTTGCTGCCAGCTACATTGTGCGCTTCGACTTTCAATTGGTAAACCGAGCTAGGCTGCAGGTTCGTCACGATGAAACGTCGTTGCATCTTGACGCTATTCGACACCAGCGTCCAGTGGAACTCGTTGATGGGTCTATACTGAATCACGAAGTAGAGGATCGGACAGCCATTGTCGGGCCACACGTGGAGTCGCAGGACAAGCGTCGTCGAGTTTGGACTGAGAAAAGACGCAGCGGGTGGAATTCCTGGCGCTTGTCCTTGTGTTCGGACCGAGAGGACAGGCGACGACGGGCTGCTTCCAATTTTGTTGCGAGACCTTAGGTATAATTGGTAGGTGTTCCCACACAAGAGTCCCTGAAAATTATGAATACGATGGTCAGTCCATAAATATGTTATCTTTCTCCTATAGCTTTTATTTTTGCAAGAGACGTTTAACGACCAGATCTTGATGTTGTGGCGGACCAGACATAAAAAGACACGTCCTTCAAAAACGGGGTGTGCATATGCCTTTTCGGGGTTTCCCGACGCAAGGCGTGCACACCGCAATAAAACAATAAAAACGTTGGGACACAGCTTCGGACCATAGGTCCCGGATCACCCCGGTCGGAAAATCTTCGAGAAAGGCCTTCGCCCTTCCCAAGGACTTTCCCTTACCAATTTCAATACGTTCTCCCCAATAAATACGAGGACCTCTCGACCGGGAGACGTCAGTTAGCAAGTTTTCCTCCGACTCTCAACGTGTTCATATTTCTGTCTCATTCGTCACTCGTTTACCTTTACCTTCTACACACTGTACCTCATCGCCTTTTGTTACAAGTTATATTACAGTTCTCGTTATATAAAAACCAAAAAAAACTCTCTCGGATTATTTTATATAAACCGTCGCAGTAACCCCTGCGACAAAATGTTTTGAAGAATTACTAAATCATTACTAAAATAATTAAAGACGAAAAGAAACTTCTAAGCGACTCCTGTTTCTTGCAATAGACATAGACAATTTTTACTTTGTACAGAGATCCGTAGTCTAGTCGTAATGTATTTCATTGACTAAATGTTTAATTAAATGATTTATTTGCTTTTGCAAAAACTAAATTATCTGTTATTTCTTCAAATCATTATATTCGATATTTGATTTTAACAGAAATGTCTGGTTTCCTAATACGAAGTGTCGAATGTTTTTATTATTTCATATTATTCCAGGTTATTAGGAATTTATTTGAACGAAGTAAAAGATAAAACAAATATGCCCCGCCCTGTTCCGGTGGATCTTACAGATAGCTGAACTAATTGCGCGTCCGAAAAGGCTACAGTTTTGGTAGTTCGATCCTGTTTTTAGACACTGCAATTTTGTGTAGACTCTCTGTTTCGAAGATTCCGATCGAATAAGACGATTCTAGTCGTAGCGAGACTAAAGATTTATCTACAGTGCGGTACTTTATTTGGAGCGTTCCTCTTGTAAAAGGAGCATGTACCTTGAGTTCGTGACTAGTAGCATGACGAGACAGCTGCAGTTCTTCCTGATTACCGTGAGTCGTTCGATAATGTAACGTGTATCCTGTTAGCGGAGCACCGCCAGTGTGCCCGGCTTTCCAGTGTAACAAAATGCTACTCGATGTGGAGCTGGTTACGTAAAGAGCTGGCGCGCTTGGAGGTACTGCAAATAAACAAAGAATACTTATACTACCCGATTAGACACGAAGAAAGGATCCGAAGAAAGTTTTGCGACGAACAGCCCCTAAGAAATGCTAGAGGGTTATATTATATTATATTATATTATATTATATTATATTATATATATTATATATTGTTGAAATTTTAGCCTCGAACAAAAATTAATCTATAGTTTACTTAGTACTAAGGTACTAAGATATCGGTTTACATTTTCGTCGGTTCCGTCAGCGGGCAACGACGGTGATGTAAACTGTATATAATAGATACCGCGATACATCATCACCGGTACCATTAGATACACATCGTGCCCTGACTGTTTGGGGATCCCAGCGTCACGTATACAATGTGAAACGCGACAAATAAACGTCTCTGATTGGTGGATAAGACGAACCCAAAAAGGGTATAAAAGAAGCGTTTTTTCTTACCGGACTCTCAGTAGAGTTTGGTCGCTCGATCGTTTTCGCCCATATACCTTCTCTCAATAAAGGAATAAAATAAAGTCTTTTTAAGAAAAGAATTAGAATCATATTCATTTTTTCATTCCATAATCCCAACATATATAATATAATATATATATATATAATAATATACAGGGTGTTCCACAATTACTTTAACAGCCGAAAATGAGGGGTAGCTGAGGTCATTTGAAGTAAGTCTTTCCTTTGCGAAAATGCAATCTGCGGCTTTGTTTACGAGTTATTAACGAAAAACACTGGCCAATGAGAGGTGACGGCGCGAAGTTCGAGAGCCCGCTGCACGAGGCTTTGACAGATGGTCGGGACGGACTCGAGCCGCGTTCGAAGTATTGAACAAATCACGAAGCGAGAACTTGCCGGATTTTTTTTTTACTACGTAACGGTGATACTTTTAAGAAAAACGCTGTTCACCTTTATTTTAGAACGTCTGAAGAATATTTACTAATTTTTCGGACCCGAAATAATAATTAATTTAACCGTGACGGCGGTTTTAATTTTCTAGTGTGCACGACACCTCGTGTGTAACATATGAAATTTTTAAGCAATTGGGAAGAAGACATTGCAGATCCGACAAATGAAAGTGAAGCAGAATCTTCGGACAGTGAAGTTCTTAGAAAAACTTGGAATTTATCATCTCCCAATAACCTCAAAAACAGCCGGCGACAAGCGAAGTAACAGAGTTAGTGGTGCCGGCGCCAAGCGAAGAAATACTTGCGGCCGGCAAAGTGCTAATTTATTACATACTTTCATACGACAAGCTTGAAAACATTATATTATGGCGCAGTTTCTAAAGATGTGCACATATTTGTTTAACCAGATTTATGCGATGAATTTTTACGAACATCGTAGGAGGGATAATGAATCGTTCGGATGCTTACCCTGCACAGTGAGCGTATAATGCAAGTTGTCGCTGCCTTGAGTGTTCTTCACCTTGCAAGTATAATTCCCGCCATCTTGGGACTGCAGATTCGACAGCACAAGCTCGCCCGATGGTAGAATTTGTATATTCCTAGCAGTGTCCGTACGTATTTGTTCAGCCGATCCCTTGAACCATTCTCTAGCAGGATCTCCGACCGCGTTGCAAGACAAAGTGGCGGATCCCCTCCATGGTCTGACTACGTGGCCCCCGAAAGAAGTGATTCTGGCTGGAACCCGGTTCGTCGGCACCTGTGCGGCTACCCTGGAACTTTGGCCCTCGCCTACCCGGGTGCTAGCCGTCACCCAGAACTGATACTCGACGTGTTGCTGTAAATCGGTCGCCTCGAAATAGGTGCTCGCGGCTGGCAGTTGTCTTTTACCGTGATTCAGTTCTTCACGGCCGTCTACAACCCTGTTGATATAACATTGTTTCACATTATTAACATTTTAGGCACGACGCGCCACTATAGTGGCTTCCGCGGATGTCATCTCTCTGAACGACGCGCCACTATAGTGTCTAGCTCTAGTAACTTACTCGCTCATCGTTTGAACCAAATAATCGTCTTCATATGTATTGTTTCACACTTCTTTTATCTTCACATCGATTTACAACAGTCTACAGGGTGTCCCAAAAATGTCTCGTAATCCGGAAATGGCGGGTTCCTCGGATCATTTGAAGCAACTTCTTCCTTTACAAAAATTTTCTCCGAGGCGCCGTTAACGAGTTATTAACGAAAAACGGTGACTAATGAGAGGCGAGCTCAGTTGGCGCTAGGCGGCCGAGCCAACAGCGCCAGCGGTCGAATCCCAGTTCCGCTGATTAGCTCGGCCGCCTCGCGCCAGCTGAGCTCACTTCTCATTGGTCACTGTTTTTCGTTAATAACTCGTTAATGGTGCCTCGGAGAAAATTTTTGTAAAGGAAAAAGTTGCTTCAAATGACCCGAGGAACCCGCCACTTTCAGATTGCGAGACATTTTTGGGACACCCCCTGTATATACAGTATCAGATTCTGTACAGTACACATCAGACTCTGCTGTCTAGAGAAATAGCCTCGCGCAGAATTCAGCCGCACCTAAAAGGTTAACTCTTTCGTGCCGAGGGCCGCATGTATGCGGCATCCACTCGACGACTTGTGGGTCCGGGCGCCGCATATATGCGGCATCGAAATGAAGTGTATAGAGAAGACGTAGACGTGTAATTTGTAGCAAAAATGATAAAAGAACGGATTCGCGGTACGAGTGCAAAGATTGCGATGTTGGCCTTTGTATAGATCATTGCTTTCAAATATATCGCACAGAATTATATTATTAGTTTGTACATATTATTATCTTTTAATAATTTGCGTCTCGTTATTAATTCTGTTAAACATTTAATCGTTAGGCTTTGTAATTATATAAATACCTATGTTACCTATAATTTTGTAAGTCTTTTTAAATTAAAACTGTAAATATACTTGTTACATTAGAGCAACGATCGTTTTATTCGGCACAGTTATTATTTAAGATTTGGAGCAACATATATGCAGAAACCACGCGTACTGTGCATATTTCCGGAGCTAGTTTCCGTTCGGTGGCGGTACTTCGGCGAATGGTGCTGCCGCAGCGAAAGGGTTAAGGAATTCGAGCATTTCAATCTTTATCTGTAATCGTTAGATCGCGAATTTTGTGCATTTACGGCAAAAATGAGTACAGTAATTTCTCCTAGAATTCTAAGATTCGATCGTTTTTGTAGAACTCGGAGCAGTCGGCAAAAGAAGGCAGCGGCCAGCGTGCCGCTGTACGTTAATATGAATACATAGTAATGTTAGAATAAAAACGACGACTTAACCTTTTTGTTTCTAATTTTTTGCCACGATTCGAAGGCAATTTAGAGGCTACGTGCCCGATTCGACGGTCATGTACGTTGTAGCGCCGCGCGGTTTTTGTTATCACACCCAAACAGATCATTTTGCGTTGTCTTCCGGGAATTCGCGGCGCGTGCCGCATTACACGCTTGACCGATTCCGTCGACTTTTAGCATCGACGTGACAACGAATTACGTAGGCGTTGGATTAGCACAGGGAAATACAGAACAACCCGAAATTTGGCATTTCCGGAAGAAATTACTGTATCCGTAATGTGAAACAGTGACAATATTAACCCGAGAAAGATAACCTACGTCGCAGAGGCGCCTGCGANAAATATATCGCACAGAATTATATTATTAGTTTGTACATATTATTATCTTTTAATAATTTGCGTCTCGTTATTAATTCTGTTAAACATTTAATCGTTAGGCTTTGTAATTATATAAATACCTATGTTACCTATAATTTTGTAAGTCTTTTTAAATTAAAACTGTAAATATACTTGTTACATTAGAGCAACGATCGTTTTATTCGGCACAGTTATTATTTAAGATTTGGAGCAACATATATGCAGAAACCACGCGTACTGTGCATATTTCCGGAGCTAGTTTCCGTTCGGTGGCGGTACTTCGGCGAATGGTGCTGCCGCAGCGAAAGGGTTAAGGAATTCGAGCATTTCAATCTTTATCTGTAATCGTTAGATCGCGAATTTTGTGCATTTACGGCAAAAATGAGTACAGTAATTTCTCCTAGAATTCTAAGATTCGATCGTTTTTGTAGAACTCGGAGCAGTCGGCAAAAGAAGGCAGCGGCCAGCGTGCCGCTGTACGTTAATATGAATACATAGTAATGTTAGAATAAAAACGACGACTTAACCTTTTTGTTTCTAATTTTTTGCCACGATTCGAAGGCAATTTAGAGGCTACGTGCCCGATTCGACGGTCATGTACGTTGTAGCGCCGCGCGGTTTTTGTTATCACACCCAAACAGATCATTTTGCGTTGTCTTCCGGGAATTCGCGGCGCGTGCCGCATTACACGCTTGACCGATTCCGTCGACTTTTAGCATCGACGTGACAACGAATTACGTAGGCGTTGGATTAGCACAGGGAAATACAGAACAACCCGAAATTTGGCATTTCCGGAAGAAATTACTGTATCCGTAATGTGAAACAGTGACAATATTAACCCGAGAAAGATAACCTACGTCGCAGAGGCGCCTGCGAAGACTGTTGATTTTTGTTAATTTTTCATAGAGGTCTAGTGATTTAAGTTTAAAATTACTTAAAATATAAAAAAATATAATATAAATGCATTTTATTTTTACAATAATGCCAAACCTTTAAAATGACTAGATTAACTTAAATAAATATCCATTGTTAGTATAAAATTGACGCCTTAGAAAAGCATGCGCCTCTGAAGCGTATGGTTATCTTTTACGTACGTTGTCATATGGTTATCTTTCTAGGGTTAAAAACATTTGACACAAGATTTACGCAGCACAAAAATAGCTGTTTTATATTAGTTTATAAAAGTAACAGTAAGACATTTATTCTGATTTTCAACAAGCGTTATCGTAACATTTGCCGTGAGTAACATATACATTGAATAGATAACTCTTAAATGTATCTTTACGGATATGAATAAATTGAAAAATTATTATTATAAATTAAAAAATTAATGACTCGTCATTTTGACGGGTTCCGTAAATCTATTGTTAATGACGTAGATATATTACTTGTGATCGTTTAATTTGCGGACTTTCGGATAAACTTTTCGACAATGACAGCGATTTTATGCAAACATCGAAAAGTTTTTTAGGTCGTTGTAGTTTAATTATTTCTCTTTGTATTGTTGTTTAAAAGAAAATTAATAACATTCTTTGAGATACAACGAGCCTATTATTCAGCGCGCTTCCGGTAGGTAAAGTATTAATAAATGTTTTTAAAGAGATCATCGATTTTTACGTTGATAAATCAATTACGATTCGATCGTGTGTATGAGAAGTAGACAGGACAATTTCTTTGTCCCTTGATATTTTTCATAAAATAGTATTATCAAATTACTACCTTGTGTATAGATTGTATTTTGTAATATGTCCATTCGGTTCGAGGGGTGGAAGCCAAGAGATGAATAGCGCCTGCGGCGAACTGACCACCACTTTTATGTCTGCTGGGCTACCTGGTACTGTACGAAGAAATGAATTTTATTAAATATCTATCTAATATTGACCGGAGAGATCGATATATTTACTCTCCAGGTGCTTTATTTATTTTGAAAAGTGTGCACCTCGGGGTTCAATTAGTTTTAAGCGACGACGAGTGCACATACTCGAAAAAAACAGTCGCGAACTGCACTTGTTATAAAATTGAAAAAAAAGTTATAACAAAGTGACAGTTGTTTTTAGTTATTCCTTTTCGTAAAATGCATATTTTTATTGTTCGAAAACTTAAACTTATATAGTTTAAGATTCGATTAACACGGATAAAGAATATTTAGAACTTAAAATGCTTTTATATACTATAAATAATCAAATATTTGGGGAAGAGAAAATTAGAAATTTAATTTGTTTTTAGAGGAAAGGATAACATGTTAAATTCTTGTTCTTATTTTATGTTAATATTTCATTGTTGCCATCCTATAATATGTGTTGAAATTGCGAATGCGTTTCATATAAATTCTATTTTAAATAGCACCCGCCATTTGACAACAAATTTTCATTTGTTCACGACGATTATATTAACGTGAACATGGACAGGTTTAAAACTACGTGACGAAGAACCATTACCGTCTTCCTCGGTCTGGCAGTACGTGATCGTGGTGGGTTCTCCATCGCCAACTTTGGTGAAAGCGAGGACTTGAATAGTATAATTCGTGAACTTTCTTAAGCCCGTAAGGACAGTGGTCAGGGCGCTGGTCTTCCGCACCTAGCAAGAAAGACACAATTGAGAACTTCCGAGCGAGACAACATTCTCTTAACGAAACAGTTCCACTAACTTCCATTTCATCGACGCTGCGCCACACGTCCGCCAAAATTGGTTCATAGTGTAACTTGTACCCTTGAATAATACCGTTGCTGTGCGTGTTAGGCGGTGGCTGCCACGATACTTGAAGGGATTGCGAAGTTAACGCAGCGCATCTTACGTCTTCCGGCGGCATGCTGGGTACTGAACATATTTTGTTTATCGTTAAACATCGTCGCAACGTTCCGGACGTTATTGGACTCTTCGCCTTTCTTCTCCCGCGAACATTACTCACCATCTTCCAAAGTTTGCGTGAGCAAAGGTTCAGAAAGCGGTCCGGAACCAACTTGATTATACGCTTGAACTACCAAAGTGTACTTTGTGTAGGGTCGAAGGCCTGTTAGCCGAAGTTCGGCGCCTCCTTCTTCTCCGTCGCCGGATACGGAACTGAAGTTGTACGAGGGATTTGAAGAGCTGAAAGAAGATTCCTAACGTAATGGAGTTCCGAACTCGAAGCGCTAAACGCGTTCCGATCTGTTTTGTACGATTAAATTTTGATCACGTTATTACGATGCACATTATTGCGATGGTCTGCCTTTCGTCTTCAATTACTTATTATTACATATTATAATATATTATTATTATTGTATATTATTGTTATAAATTATTGATATATATTATCTTAAATTATTAGCTATTCGTTCGAAGTTATTAATAGACTGCGGATTTTATGCATTTACAACGAAAATAAGATAACAAAGACATTAAAAGAATTTAAGAATATCGCAATATTATTTTCAATTTATTACATTTCAAAATAATATCAAATATGTTATATTTTGTGTTTTTAGAATATCATTACCAACATTTTACTACATCGTATATTCAGTTTGTATATGTTTATTATCTTTAGAAGTTAACTATTGCAAAGTTAAATTAAATTATACATAAGCCACTCGAGCAAATTAAAGTCGATTTGGAGGACTAGAAATAAATAAGACACGGTAAATATAATGATAATGATAAAAATAATAATATTTTAAAATCATTAATATGATACAGAGAAAAGTGTAAACAGAAAATATTTATATTGAGCGAAGATCTGCTACCTAAGTTGATTCTTCTATAATAAAAATCTAATTATTATGTGACGTTCGAATCGAAATGTCTGGCAAAAATCCGAAGGTGAAAAATTCCTTAAAAACTGCTAAATCCCTAAAAACAACTAAATTCCTCGAAACAACTAAAAACAGAAAAATACAAAAAAAAATAAATAAAAAGGGGAAGACGGAAAGATAAAAAATGAGAAAAAAGTGAAAATAAACCGACAGAAAAATTGATGAAGAGAATAAAAGAGGGAAAGCACGATACAGAGATATAGAAAGACAGAAAGGGAGACAGTGGATTAGGAAAAGGGTGGCGGAGCGCTGAAAAGTGCGCAGCGGAAAGATTCTGCGATGGGATTCCGGGATCGAAGGAGGCGATTCGAGAGACGGGGCGGAAATATACGGGGATCAGGGGGCAGTCGGGGTGCGGGAGAGTATCGCGGAATGCAATCGGAATGCCGGTGCTTACCGACCGACCGTTCGGTAATGGCTACACGTGTACACCTCGGACGGTACACGCGCGAAACCCCCTATCCACGCGAGCCCTCCGCTCGCCTCGGCGGTGCCCAAGACCTAAACGAACCTGCGAATCGTCCGCGCCTGTGATTCTGCCACTTTGCGCGCGGTCGCAGCATCGCTCGACCTCCGACAGTTCCGCTAGTCCAACTTTAACGAGCGGATCCGATAAGAACGCTGGCAAAGGGGTGCTTCGACAGGATTTTTGGGGGACGCGATAAAGAGGAGGACAGAAATCTGCTGTTCCCCAGAATTTATTGTTAAAAAGATTTGTTATTTATGTTATGTTATTTTTCGTTGCAGCAGGTACAGTAGGTTAAATAAATGGCGTTACCGTTTAGTGTGCTCTTTATGAAAATAGAGTACGATCATTGGTTGTTTGTTCGAATTTTAAGGGCCCGGGTCAGATCAGCCTGCACTCCGAGTTGATCGTCGCTCTGCAGTTGTGCGAACGGACATTAGCCAAACCAAATTAAAAATATTTTCAACCGTCAGGTTGAGCTCGCTGTGGTGTAGCTTGTTGGTTGGAAGAGAACTGTGACGCTAGTAGTGAAAAATGTCGGAAGCTCGAGTTGGTGTTTCGGTCTATCAACTACTCCTGTGTCTTAATTAACTAAGAAATCAACTGAAAATACACTCCATTGCCTTTGTACGTGCCTTATCTACTGGGCTTCGGTTGTGAATTTTCGATTCGAGCTCTATATCTCTCGATATTTACGAAAAACTGTTAGCGGCGGCCATCTTGTGTCGTCTTGCGCGTGAATTGACACCACTCTGGCCGAATATTGCAAATATCTCCGCAATAACTGCAAAACGGATATTTCTACAACCGAAGTCCAGTCGTTTAGTCTTTTCGAAATCTAAATTTTCCACTTGTGAACTGCATACTTCGATATTAAAGCGTCAGTTTTGGTCGATAGAAACCTCTAAAACTAATATACGTATATGGTTTTCTTCTATGTGTGGGTCGTCATAGTGTGCGGCGACCCGGGCCCTTAATTTTTGAGTTTTTCACTGGAAACGTTTGTCTGTAATCGATAAGATGCAGTGGGTTGACTGTGGTCTTTTCACTAGCAACGTTTGACTATGGACGTTTCACTGAAAATGTTTTTCTATGAATGTTTTACTACGAATGATTATTATGACTCTAACAGTTTTACTATGAAATAGTTTACTAAGAACGTTCGACTATGAATGAATGAAAGAATGTTTTACTATGAATGTTCCACTTTGAATGTTCCACTAGGAATATTTTGCTATGAACATTTCACTATTGAACTTCTTTCTATGAACGTTTGATTATGAACGTTCCGCTAAGAGTGTTTTACGAATCGGTTGAAAATATACAATTCAATTAAGGTAATCTCGTTTCGAAGACAAAGAAGTTTTAATAATATCGGAGTACACGTGACATTATTATTCAAAGTGGATTTTCTCTTGGAAATAAAGTCGGACACAACGACTTTCATTAATATTTTGAGAGCGAATGAATAATCCACGGAACGCGCATCAAATTAGTTAGAGTGTTCGGTAAACTCACCTTGTTTCTCTGTAGCCGACGTTGAATCCTTGAATATCACCGTGTCTGAGTTCAGGTAATGGCGGCGACCAGGAGATTAAGATTTCAGAGGAGGACAGAGCCCTTGCCGCAAGTTTAATTGGCGGACCAGCCGGTCTTTCTGGCTCCGTCCTGACGATTAGATCCGCGGATGGCACAGACCTACCTGCTGGCCCTTCAGCTATTACACGAATAGTGTACCTAGTAGCTGGTTTTAGCTCGTCGATAAGGGCGGCGTACGGAAGCGGCGGCCCGGTGAATTCTTTCTGTTGCCACAGTCCACCTGTCGTGTGTGATCGATCAACATTAATTAAAGTCCCCTCGCGGAAAATACTTTAATAATAAGCGGCAAAAGTTTAATTTTGCCGGAGAGAAGAGACAGTTTAAACTGCTTATATATTTGATTAATTTTATTATAAAATCTGCATAAAAAATATATTTGCGGTTGCAAGGAATATATTTTCACTTTTGAGATATTGCCGCTTAAAATTCTGATAAGTAATTCTTCATTTTCACTTCGGTTCAATTGCACTATATTTCTCGGGTTTATCGAGGAACTTATTTCATCTAGTTCGCTACGACATCGCTATTTTACTTTTGACCATTAATTTACGAATACGCTATCCGAATTAATTAATCGATATATATTTTCTCTATTAAAAATTGCACATATTTTCTACGAAAAAGAACGAAACATAGTAATATTTACCAGTGCCTTCCTTGTATTCGAGAATGTATTTTGTTACTTCGCTGGTGTCTTGCGATTTGTGCTGCCACTTCACGTTGATACTGCGACTGGCAACCATTGCGGTTTCCAACGAATTCGGTGGATGTGGCGGCTCTAAAGTGAGAGCGAAACGATCTCATCGTTAACAAATACGAGATTCATGTTTTATCCAACGGGTCAAATCGATCTTCATTTTACCTTGCACGAGGAGTTGCACCAATTGCTGATCACGGCCATATAGATTACTCGCTTGACAAAAGTACGCTCCGCTATCGGACGCCTCTGCATTCGATATTTGTAATTGAGCTATTACACCGTCCGGCGTTACCTCCCGTTTCACCGTAACCCTTTAAATGCCATAAAAACGTTTACGGAAAATTCCGAGTGTAACGATATAAATTAGTCTAGCATTTTCATTTTTACGTAGGGCGATCTGTCCAACGAAAGAACACCCCTCGGTGAACGAACATCTCCTATATTTTATGAAAAAGTAACTTATATGGAAGCACGAAAACCTTTTTTTGCTTAAGATTCATTTCACAATTCATTTGTTTAATTAGCAGGCTGTTCTGAACGTGTTCAACGCGTTGGAGGTAATAATATTTGTATTTTAAGATACAATATTATTCACTGGAATTCATTCGTTAAACATTTTTCTCCGATTCATTGTTAAACGTATTTTTCACAAAATCTCATGTTACACTTTTAAACGATGCTATAATTCTGTCCAGGGATGTGTGCAGGGATTTAGCGGTAAAACATTTCGATTACGATAACATCATTCAACGATGATTTGTGAATGAAAAATATAACCTAAGTATTCATTCGCTGGACAAGCCACTCTATCATCTTGTTCACCGATGTTAATAATTTAAAGTCTCTCTTTTGAACAATATAATTTTATAATACCGTATTCTAAATTATTCTAAATTAGTTCAAATATGTCGCGTAATATTTTCGACGCTTATTTTACTCGAAGAACCGAGATCGAATTTCACAAGTTCTTCGTTCTACAAATTAATAGATCGTAGCCTTCGAATTGCCAGATTTCCGTGTAATAACTTGCAACGTAAATTAGCTTTACCGGTAGTTCGTCGAGGGGTTTAACTCAATTTTTCCACCCTTTAGCCAAATGACGGTGACTGGCGTGTCGCCGTGTACCTCGCAATGTAACGTCGCGGTGTCACCCTTTTTCACGGTGACGAGCCTCGAAGGTGCCGCGAAGTATGGAGAAGCTATTAACATAACAAAAAAGATGTAAGTGCTGGAAGTCGCATGCATCACTCTGCCTTACAGGAAAAGCCGGTTACTAGCGGCACGTTTCCGTTATGATAGAGTAATTCTGACATATTGGGGTTCCGTTATGGATAGTCGGCAGATTGTTGCATCAATATTGACTCTTACGATATAATTTAAGGTTCGCCTTATTAATCCTTTGCACTCGGGTGTTTCCACTCGGGGAAAATAACGAGACTATACTTGATAATTATGAAACTTTCAAAATTGAAAATTTTTGTTGCGTAAGATCTGTATGCAATTTTATATTAAATTCTATACGAATAGATAGAGAAAGTATTTTTAACGTTATATCGTCTTACGTTTCATTCGAAGCATTACACTTTTTGAACATTTCTGTTTTATGAAAATAATCTAGGTGCAAAGAGTCAAGCGTTCCATCGAGTTAAGATCCGTAATATCCATGATATCCGATCGTAAATAATATTTTTCCGACTTCGCACATTCGCTTCCGTTTAAAATATTTGACAGACGACATTCGCTAGTCGCGACTAGATCTACGATTATTACTCCGGCAAATATTGTACAGCAATTTAGTATCGGCAATTTACAATCAGAAAGAGTTAATGAGACTCACAGTTCACTTTCAATTGGACCACTTTCCCGATACCGCTTCCAATACCGTTGCTAGCTTGACAGAGATAGAATCCTTCCCTGTCTTCTTTCACATGTTGCAGAAGCAGGGAACCATTGCTGAGGATTTTCGTGTAATCTCTCTCCCGCAACTCCTCGTATTCACCGGACTTGCTTCCTGCCCCGCAAAGATATCGATCCATGAAATCAAGCCAGGGTTAAATATATTTTTCAAAAACACTTTTCAAATTTGATCGCGGCAAGCCACAGAATTTGGTTCGACATTTCGCTAAATTTGAAACCGTCTGTTCGTCCTCGTATAAATGTTTCCCATTGGTCCAACAATAGGAACGAAATAGAAAAGTGGTAAAAGGTTCCTATAAATACTATATTACAAGAGTCTATTTCAAGAGATACGCTTTGAAAATTCCGTCGCGTTAAATACGGTTACCAGACGGTCCATAAATTTTCTAAATGTTCAACATTTTCTGAAGATAATAAAATTACGCGAAAACCGTACTGTCAAGCATTTGCTTGTTCCGTTCTATGCGAATGTTCTACACCAGGGGTGTCAAACTCGCGGCCCGAGATGAACACTTTTGATGTCAAGTATCAGGACGTAAACAATAATTTAACTTTATATATGTGTTTATTACAATGTACTAGTCAAAATAAAAATATTTGTTTCTATGAACATTGATTCTTTTTTTTGCGGCCCAGCTAAAGTTAAGCATTGTTTATTTGGCCCAAGTTAGCTTTTGAGTTTGACACCCCTGTTCTACACTTTTAAGTGTATTCTGTTAAAACTTCACATCGTTCGATACATCTTGTAGTATCAGGTTGAACCATTCATCGTACGAGTATACTGAACGTCACTTTTCACGTAAACGTTATTGCCGAATAAGGATAATCCAGTTTATCTATGTAACGCACCGTAACTCTCGTCTACCAGGTTCGTAAATGTCTCGTTTACAACGCTAGAAATACTAAACCACTCAAAATGATTGATCTCTGGTTTCGTCTTTCACCGTTATTGAAATTACAGAAATGTTCTATGAGAAAGTCCATAAACTTCTTTACCGAAGCATCGTACAAATGGTATTAGAAATCGTAAAAAGTTCGAGTAATTTCTCCCTAATACGCGCTCAGACTGCGCAGAAAAACAGACAATTTGGGAAGAGAACATACGATTATTCGAGCCTCGCGGCACGTTTTCATAATTACCGATTGTCAACGACTATAAAAACGGGACGCAAGGTTCGAGTTGTCGTATCTGTTCTTCCCAAGTTCTCCATTTTTGTGCGGAATCTGTGAGCGCGAGTTAGGGACTTACAACTTACTGTAAATCCAATCTCGTTATTGTTACAAAACCATATAAATTAGACGCGTTTATTTTGGTACTTCTAGCATCAAGAACCTTTTGAACAAAAACGATTGAGAAACGCTGCTGCAGGACCGAAATGGCTGCTGGCAGTTGTTCCGCGCCGGTCCGCGTAGGAGTTGCACGAAAATGGGGTTCTCGTTGTTTATTCATAAAATTACGGAGTTCTCACCCGTGGCTTTTTTCCAGACGATGGTGGGGGTCGGTACGCCCTTCGCTTGACAGTGCAAGGCAACGTGCTTGTTTCTCTCGACGCTGACGTCCGTCGGCTCGACGATCCATTGCGGCGGCACTGAAAACCAGAGCGAGCAGCTTTACGCGGGTCCGTCGCGCAGCTCCTATCCAAATTATCTTTTTTTCTTGTTTCGTTTCTTTCTTTTCTTTACTGGTCGTTAGCGATTTAGAGACAGGTACGTTGTGACAAAGTCGTGAAAAGCGCGGTCAAAGAAGAGCTCGTCGACGGTGCGGCGCGACGTCGCCGGAAGTGGAAGCGAACCGAGAGATCGTATGTATATACAACGAGATATATATATATGTATATATATAGAGAGAGAGAAAGAGAGAAAGAGAGAGAGAGCAAGATACACTGTACAAAGAGAGAGAGAGAGAGAGAGAGAGAGAGAGAGAGAGAGAGAGAGAGAGAGAGAGAGAAGAGAGACAAAAAAAAGAGACAAAAATATGGAAATTCGACGGACGCGGCCTTTCGTCGACGAGGTTTTGTCGTTCCCGTGGTAAAACGATTCGTCCAGGATCGAGAGAATTTGAAGCGTGGCGGCTACAAAGGAATTTGTACGCGGCACAATTTTGACAATTTTCCGTTTCCCGTTATGGTGGATGGCAGTTCACGTTATATGAGAGAAAGTGACAGAGACATTTAGACAAAGTGAATGAAGGTACGTGGGCGAGGTACAGTATGGACAGTGGGGTTATTTTCGGGGTCGATGCGAGGCGTGCTCGAGGGCCCGGCCGTTTTCTTCTTCGTCGAGTATACGGTATCGGTAAAAATTGCGGTCATTCCCACGGCAAAACGACGGACTTCTTCTACGGAGGATTCACCAATAAGCGGTTCTGTCTCAATACACCATAACACGTACGTACAGTAACCCAAGAGACCAAAAGAAGACAAAAAGAAAAATATATATGTCACAAGAAAAATCAAGGTACAGAAGAAGACAGGTGGTGTGCACAATAACGAAGCGTCTATCGAGATTCATTAATGTATAGATACTAGCTACGCTGAAGTTCGCCACTATGTGTGCAATCGTCTAATGCGGAGACCGGAAATGGTACGTGAATGTCGAGTGGCCGCTCGGACGCCGCGCATCGATGATGATGTCGAGAGTTTCAGGCTTGTCTTAAATCGTTCGGGTGTACTGTTTGGCGGGTTCTACTTTTTACGGTGGTGAAAAACGCTGCACAAGCGAGATACTGTGAGTGGGAAGTTCCAACGTTTTACAAGACGGCAAATACCGGCCACGCATTAACGCGTGCGACAATATAATATATATAGATATATATATGTGTGTCTGTGTGTATGTATATATGTATAGTTAGATCTATATGCGTGTAGGTGTACGTGGTTGCGCGTGTTCGTCTGTATTCTGTGCGTACGTGTGTTTCAAAGATGCGTGTTGTTGATGGATGTATGTGTGCAGTGTTCGGCAAGATACTTGTTCAAATAAGTAGAACTCTCCGAAGAAAAGGCGCAAATTGGGCAGGACGTGTGTAGGTTACGGAATGAGAGCATGTCGGCGGTAGACCGAAAGATATATCGTGGAAAGGCGAATAATAATATATATATGTATATATAGATATATATAAGTACCCGCTTCTAACGACTAGTTCGATGAATACGAATTTAATTAATAATAATACGTACTACTAGCCTACATTACCGGGTCGCATGGAAACGACGGGGCGCGCACCCCACCGGCGGCTCTACGATAATGGCGGCCGCGCCACGGACCAATTCGATCAAGTACTCTGACGGCGTACCATTTTACGGTCGTTCGAAAAATCGTTGGGTGTTTGGAGTCTCTTTGACACGTTCGAATCTCATTGGGAATAGTTTTTGTGCGCGTGCCCCGTGTTGCGCCGCGACCGAAGGAAATATAAAAAACAGCGTCACAGATAGAAAATACAGTGATAGGTAGACAGAGAGAGAGAGATAGGGGGAGAGAGATAGAGAGAGAGAGAGAAAGAAAGAGAGAGAAAGAAAGAGAGAGAGTGTGTGTGTTAGCGAGATAGAGAGAGAGAGACACAGTAAGAAAGCATGCAGAAGTGTTAATCGAAAAAAAGGGTTGCCTTCGAACGAGCCCAAAGGAGAGCCAGCGCATAGGTATCGTGAAAAATATATTACGTTCTGTTGGTTCGTGAGCAGTGTGGCACGTGCTCGTACTCGGGTGATCAAAGATAACACTTAAGTATAATAAGTAAGTAAATATATATATAATATATATATATGTACAGAGAAACACGTAAGGTGATGCAGACAAGAATAAAACCACTTCGCTACGTCGTAGAGAGAAGAGTCATGCAGATAAAGTGTTGAATGCTCACATACACGCACGCACGCAGGCCAGAAGAGAGTTTCATTTTCATGATCATGTACTTTTTTTCAGCATATGTAACTTTTTTTTTTTACGTCAATCCGTATACAATATCATTTCATTTCATTTTGTTTGTTGATTTTGGTTGGTTGGTTGGTTGCTCCGTTTAAAAAACGAGTAAAATAAGGAAAGGTGCAAACTGTTACCTTTATTATTCGGTCAAGTCAAGCAAACCTCGGGGGGTCCACGAGATACCGACGCATTCCCAGAGAGCCAAAGCAACGTAAATGTAATACACACTGTGTCTGAGGAATGGAGCCACGGGATTCGAGGAGCCGGGAGCGATTCGATGACCAAAAGGAGGTTTTTCAATGATGAACGCGTGATCTCGCTCGGAACGGACTTCCGATCTCGTTTGTGTTTTTCTGTTTTCATTTTTTTTGTTTTTTTTTTCTTTCTTTTCGACAAGACTCGCGACATCCTGTCGCGTTAGCGGACGATAATGGCAGCTCGAGAGATCCGTCGAACGCTCGTCTTGGATCCGGGCGAGAACACACCGATGATTAACGATGGTGACGCAAGGAATCGAATTAGTAAGCGTTATGATATGACGATGGTAAAATGGACGATGATATCGGTGATAATGAGAGACGGGAAATCCGATGGATTCGATGGGATACTGCGAGGGATCGGGTCTCTTGGGGCTGGTCTCGATCTCGACGTTCCATCTATTGGAAACTGTCCATAGTTTTTATTTATGTGCCGCGACTCGAAACCCCGGGAATATACTTCCATTTTCGACAGAACGGACAGGAAAGCATTACCGTGAAATTAAACGTCGTGTCTTTGAGTCTCGGGTCTTTGAGTGCGGTTGAAAAATTAGTGCTCCTCGGACTCGAGGAAATCCGAACTTCTTCGAAGGTACGAGCCAGATGTTCTCCACGATGTCTGCAGGATAAGACACTTCAAACAGATTCCCGGTACACGTTCCTTACATTTATCCGATGCAATCCCGATCTTATCTCAAACATCGTTCGAAGGAACGATCTGTTTTTCCAAAAGAAACAGCATCTCCGTTAAAATCGTTTCTTTCGAATGCGAATCGATCGAAACACCGTTCCACGATTTACCTAACAAAAATGTCCGACGTTTTCACGGGCTACGTAAAAATAGCTGCAGTCGATCCTCCGCAATAAATCTCCTACGTTTCGTCTCTAAAAATACCGTTTCAAATATCCAACCCTGTGCAGACACGAACGATCTCGCCGAGGCTCTTAAACAATTTCGACGGAACCGTCGGTGTTCGAGAGAAAAAAAATCAATTACAGCCACCGATAAAATATGTGGCTGGCGAAATGCGCAAGTTCGAGAAGCTATTCGTTGGCTGAACGAGCGTCGAATCCAGATATCCGTCGTCGGAATAGTTGACGGTTCGCGCGTAGATCGTTCCTGAATGGAAAAGGCTTGAGAGAGTCGCGTCGTTTGCGTCAAGATCGATGACCGGAGATGACGGTGGTCGAGAGGGGTGTCTGGGATGACGATGGAAAAGGGTCGCCGATCATCTAGTTACCTTTTACCTGTAGCTTGGCCGTGTACCTGACCTCGGCGGCGGGGTTCGCGGCGACGCAGGTATAGTCGCCGGAGTGCTCGGCCGCGAGGTTCGTTATACTGAGGAGGCTTGAGTAGGAATCCAGTTGGGAGACGTTTGCGACGGAGGCCAGATTCGGCGGCAAGGGAAAAGGACTTTGGCCGTCTTTTAGCCAGGATATAGTTAGGGGTGGGTCACCCGCCGCGACCCCGCACACCGTCCGCGTCCGCATCCCCTCGGATAGTCCCTCTTGGAACGTAAATGGCTCAATAATAGGGGGTACTGGAAAAGGTCAAGAGAGAAGAGAGAACCATACGTGAGAGCGAGAAAAAGATGGCACCAAAAAAAATGCAAGAACCTTTTTTTTTCTTGTACCGTGGTACAATTGCGTAATCATTTTATCTGTTCTTTTTTTTTCGTCATATGATATCATGTATATATATATATGTGTATAAATATATACAATATATATATGTTTCGGTTCATAAAGTAGCGGCATGTATTTATATATTATATAGACAGTAGTACGTCCATGTATATGTATAGATATATATAGAATATAATATGTATATATATATACGTAGAATATGTACAATAGAGGCAGTATAGTAACGTAGCAATGTAGAGGAGAGAGAGGGTGGCCCCGCCGCGGACCTGCCCCTGCCGCCCTTAAACACCTTATACATAGAAGTTTGGCATCGCATACTCACAACACATACGCTCGTTCTCAACGCAAGAGCTAGCATTCGTCGACCCTTCCAAAATCATTCCCTTTCACTTTCGAGAAATTATTTTGTTACTTGGGGTGCACATCGGTCTGGCGAGAAACGAACTGGTCCGTCTCAGTCCTGTTTGATTGTAATTGGCATTACGAATAACTGTAATTTAGGCATGCATTACAGATAATTAACCTTGCGACGTTTATACGTTGACCTCTTAGCTTCTTTTCGCCCACCTGGTTTCGTTTAGATTTCTTAATAACAAGACCGCATTTATGCAAATTCCGTGCAATTTTTATTATATTGCAATGTATGTTCGAATAAATAAATTCGTTTACTATTCTTTGATGTTTAGTCGACGAATTTAGTTGTCATTTTGTTGGATGGTATTTCAGAAGAAGAAAACTAGTTGCACACTATCTGTCACAATATTTGAACATTTCGTTCCGATCACCGAACCGTTGCGATTAGGCCCTGCGTTTTTAGCCTATTTTGCATTCGATACAGTTTTTACTTTGTTCCTAATTTATTGAAAGTATTGCTGTGATATTGACAAATTTCTTACTTATTTTCTTTTTAGTTTGACTACGAATGTATGAATTTATATAAATTTCGTTTCTTGCAATATCTTTTAGTGTTCGGTCACTGTGTGCACATCGAAAATGTAGAACTAATTCGTACGTTATAGTATTTGCGATCTTTTTGTAGAAATTTTTATTATGAAAAAAAAAATACGAATGAACGTAATAATATCCAAAAATAAACTTTTTTTATACGGTTTCATATTTTTAGAACATAAGAAACAGGATTGATGATTCCATATAAGCGTTAAATCTTTAAGTTCCCAGTTCCCGGGTCGATGTTGAACCAGTGTTTCGAAGGCATCGAAATAAGATGCTGTTCGATCGATATCAGTCAAAAAATCAATTTTATAAACAACGTATTGCCATTTGTATCGTTCACAAGTATCTGGATATTTAAAATTTTCACAATATCGTCGATATACGATACTTTTAAAATAATCGATGTTCCTAATTTATATCGTTCCGAGACAAACGAAGATCGCAGATCGATAAATAAAAAAATGTAGTACATACAGTACTACAATTTTGCACTTGAAGTTAGACTCACGGAGCGATGCAATGCTTATTCTCGATTTGCTGAAATTACTTCGATAACGAAAAAAATTCACGTTTTTCTAAAAAATTTCTTTAATCACGCAATTCCGCGTTCGCAGTGACGGAAACGGATTGAACAATTGCCGCGACATACAGCGTGCCTCGACGATTTCCTTCTGAAAGAAACCAACTGCGTTCCTTCCCCATGCAAAATTTTGTTGAACACACTTTTGTCCAAAGCGTCGCGACACGGACGAGTATACGAACCAGGCAGTGAATCGAGCCGAAAACAATCATACCAGTTGTTTCGTGTGAATTTCAAATCGCCAACACGGTCGCAGAGCCCAGTGAAACGAGAGGAACGACGAACGTTCGGCTCGGGAGAAATCGCGGGTTTTCGAAGAGTCGATGCAAGGACCGAGGAAGAAACGTGGGAGATAATAAGTGGCAGGTCTCGTGCAGGAGGATGAGCCACGCTAAGCGTGAGCTATCATCGAGAACACGTCCTCAGGTCTCTACGTTCCTGAGTGACGTTCGAGGCGTCGTAGTAAAATCCTTCTCGAATGAACACGCGCAAGTACCGAGCGAGCCGGTCGGTTTTGGGACCAGAGAGAATCGATCGTCGCATTATAGTCCACGTCGAAAGCTATTTACAGCGGCGACAGCAGCGCAAACACTGGACACAGAGATCCCTGGACGGGGAGCAAACGCGAAGACACGGCTGTACGAAATTATGGTACATCACCGCGGGTCCCACGCGCGGTATTCGAAACAAACAACAGCAACAACAAATTACACCGGGCACCGGTTGTTCGGTTTTCGTGATCTTTGCTTTTTTTGTTTTCTGCCTCCGGATCCTCGCGCGCTTCATTCTCGAGATTATTGGGCGACCGTGAACGCACTCGTACTCTCACTCGCTCGGATTTCGGGCGGGCAGGCGGTCGTCGGGCAAAAGTGAAGGGGGCCTAGAGGAGGATTACCATGAACCACAAGCCGCTGCGTGTGTGATACCTCTGCGGCCAGATTACGGGCCACGCACGAGTAGTTGCCGTTGTGATCTGGAGATAAACGTTCAATCATCAGTATGCTATTGTACTGGTCCACATTGGTGACACTGACACGCTCCGATGGACCCATCGATCGTCCGTCCTTGAGCCAGGAGATCGAGAGTGGCAGATCGCCCCTGGTCACCGAGCATGTCAACGTGGTGCGCTCGCCGAGGTGTAGATCACGATCTGCCGTGAATGGGCTAATTTTGGGAGGAACTGGAATAATAACAACAACGACAGCTCGTGAGCACGAGAACCATACACGGCGATCAAACACCGTATCCCTGGTGTGCCGGGGCCTGTCAACGGAATCCTAGAAAGTTGCTTTCCCTTCCTCTTTTTTACTCTACCGCTGCCTCGAACCGATCGATCTTACTTAGATACTTTTCTTTCCGTTTGCCCGTCGGTTTCGTTCCTTTACGTTCCTCTTTGAGTTAAGACGTTCGATTGGCATATCGTCCACGTCCTCTCTCGTCGGTCTCCGGTTGTCGGATGCCGTCTGCAACAATCGTAGAATAGGGAATCGAATATGAGGCCTTACCGATCACTGCAACGTCGCCAGATCTTCTCGCGTTGTGGCCCTGCTTGTTCCGCGCCGAACAGGTGTACACCCCCGCGTCGCCCTTCTTCTGCACGCTCGTGATCAGTAGGGTGCCATCCTTCAGCACCTTCTGGCGAAGATCGTCCGGCAGCTCGCGATTCGCCCGCTCCCACTTGATCTCCTCGATCGGGTAGCCGGCGACAGGACACTTCAACCGCAGCGTCTCACCCGCGACGGCGGTTACCTTCGGGATTAGGCGGATGTATGGAAGACCTGTAACGAGAGATTATGCACTTGGTTAATTATTCTAGTCTAGTTTTCGCTTATGCACTTGGTACTTTGCAGACTTACGCTACCGTGCCAAAGTATTAGGTCTACCGGAAAGTTCTGTCCGTTTTTGAATTGAAATATAACACAATTTTCATACATTTAATAATATTTATTGTAGTATATACTTTCCATAGATAGTATCGATAGATTTATGGATTTAAAGGAGAAGAGGATCAATGCTCTCTTTGAATAAGATGGTTTATTCAGCAAGTACACACAGAATCGTTGCATTGCTTATTATTAGTTTCTCAATTCTTATCGAACATCGTGTACCAGATTGTAAATTATTTTTAGTCCTTCTTTTACCAAAAGCCTATTAACAGGCCAAAGTCCATTTCGATGATTCAGATGTATACAAAAGAAGCTCGATAATTTTCTTCTAAATAATTATTTCAGCAGCAATTAATGCAATACATTATTCCAAATGAATTGATGAATTACGGATAAAATTGTTATCACCACTGAACAATTTTTTAAGAAACTCTCAACCGTTGATCTTCAATTTTGAAATGACCATTAGAAAACTACCGGTACATAAAGTGTTAACATTCGCTTGGTGCGTGTTTTACAGTATTTTTATTATTATTTTCTAGAAAAAAAAAGTAACATCGACTTTGTTTTATGCACTTCCATTACAATATATCTTGCTCCTTGTTCGAGGACACATATTCTAAGATAACAAAATGCAGAACCAGAAATAGACTACAGACCCTCGTCATTTTAACTCTGTTCATTAGCTTGACAAATACATTAGGTATACCGGAAAGTTCTGTCCGTTTTTGAATTGAAATATAACACAATTTTCATACATTTAATAATATTTATTGTAGTATATACTTTCCATAGATAGTATCGATAGATTTATGGATTTAAAGGAGAAGAGGATCAATGCTCTCTTTGAATAAGATGGTTTATTCAGCAAGTACACACAGAATCGTTGCATTGCTTATTATTAGTTTCTCAATTCTTATCGAACATCGTGTACCAGATTGTAAATTATTTTTAGTCCTTCTTTTACCAAAAGCCTATTAACAGGCCAAAGTCCATTTCGATGATTCAGATGTATACAAAAGAAGCTCGATAATTTTCTTCTAAATAATTATTTCAGCAGCAATTAATGCAATACATTATTCCAAATGAATTGATGAATTACGGATAAAATTGTTATCACCACTGAACAATTTTTTAAGAAACTCTCAACCGTTGATCTTCAATTTTGAAATGACCATTAGAAAACTACCGGTACATAAAGTGTTAACATTCGCTTGGTGCGTGTTTTACAGTATTTTTATTATTATTTTCTAGAAAAAAAAGTAACATCGACTTTGTTTTATGCACTTCCATTACAATATATCTTGCTCCTTGTTCGAGGACACATATTCTAAGATAACAAAATGCAGAACCAGAAATAGACTACAGACCCTCGTCATTTTAACTCTGTTCATTAGCTTGACAAATACATTAGGTATACCGGAAAGTTCTGTCCGTTTTTGAATTGAAATATAACACAATTTTCATACATTTAATAATATTTATTGTAGAATATACTTTCCATCGTTACTTATGACTTCTTGCCAGCGTGATGGCAACTTGTAA